TGACGATACCAAGTATCAGCCATGATTTGGAGCTACTTAAATTCTTATACATTTCTTTTATTTATTGAATAAATTTGACATGCACATTGTGTAACTTAAAGTGTACAGAAAGTTACTTTGATATATTTATATATTTTAATATGATTGCCAAGGTAGTAATATTTATCACATTACATAATTGCAGCATAATATTATTGTCTATATTCATTGTTTACTACTCATTTTTAATACATTTTTGATGAGAATTCAAAATGATATAGCCACTTTGAAGAATAGTGTGGCAGTTTCTTATGAAGTTAAATGTATTTCCCTTCAGCAATCTCAAAAGCCCTTTCAAAAGAAAGGAAAACATATAATCACACAAAGATTCATACTTTATTGTGTATAGCAGCTTTATTCAAAATAGCCAAAAACTGAAATCAACCAACATTTCATCAACTTGTGACCAGATAATTGCATTTAATAGATTACTTATATAATTTTTTTTTAAATGATGAAACCATAGTGAAAGAAAGAAGAATTGTAGGTGTCAGGAGCTGAATATATGGACAGAAAATTGGCTATAAATGAGCATGAAGAAAACTCATGGGATGAAGGATGTTTTATATCATGACTGTCATGGTGTTTATACAATTATACATTTGTCAAAACATCAAATTATATACTTGGAATTGTAAAATTATGCCTCTGTAATACCAACTAAAACAAATAAGATTGTAGATGATTATTGCTTGCAACTAGAAACAGTGTCATTAGAAGCTGGATAAGTTCAACTTCCTACAGACTTGAATTTTCTGGAAGATCCAAGTCCTGGAATGAAGGAACAAAACCTAAGAACAGCTTTTCTTTTATGAGTCAGACACTGATAATTATTTTAATATATAAAATTTCTTTATACAAGAAAATACAGATAAATGCAAACTAAATGAAGTATAAAGAAAGATTTAAAAAATAATTTTCTAATTTGATGTCTGAATGAATGATGTTTAAAAAATGATAAAGATAGAGAAATGTTTAACCTAAGAAATCATTGCTCTAAAGTTGTTTCAATATGAAAGAAAATCTTTTAAAGTGTCAGAGGATATCACCACAGCTTGAATTTTTTTCTATAACTTTTTAAATTGGGTATCCTACTCTATTCTGATGAGTAATTATTACATGTTTTCAATCACACTTCTGGCGGAATGCTAGACTATGTATTATAAAAGAATCTCATTTTAAAATGCAATTAGAATACAAATATTCTACACCACACTTGCAGATGTATTGTTGTTCCATAGGAAAGTGAAGAAACTCTCAAGAAAATAAGTGAAGCAAGTGAGAAGAAGGAGAGATAGAGAAGAAATATAGAAGGAAGAAAAAGAACAAGAGGAGAGGACTGGGGAAGGAAGATAAAGAGGAGAAATAGTTAAAATAAGAGTAGAGTGAGCAATAATCACTCATTCTGGAACTATACTCAGCTGCAAATAATGCAACCAATAACTAGAGCTTTGAAATATTACAGATGGCCTGCAATTTTCCAACCATATAAAACTAGAAATCCAAAGCAACATCACATACCTAGGAACAATAGCAAAGATGCGAAAAAGACAGAGATGTTTTAACTTTCCTTCACACTTTTGAGCTCACTCATTTGGCTTATGCAGAAATTGGACAGCTTTGGTGAACGGCAGTGGATTATCAAAACAGGTGGTGACTCCAATTATAACTACTGTTCCAGATTTTGTCTCTGTTATGGAGCAAATCAACATAGCCCTAGCACATGGCATGCAACTAATGAGCTGACAATACTTTTTTCTCTGTGTCATTTAGCATAGACCACCAGAAGCAGTTTGGGTGGACAGCAGAAACACGTCATTGTCTTACTCAGGGCTGCGCCAGTTCTTCCTCGGTTACCATCCAGACTAGAGTGAATCTGATTGTTTTATTATCTCACAGGACATCTTGGTTTCATGGATGACCTCATGCCAAATGAGCTCACAGAAAAGAAAGTAGCAAAAAGCCTTCATACACCACCTGCATGACAGAATATGCAATGTGCCTTGCCAGATTCAGATACCTCCATCTCAGTAGAGTTTCTATGGATCCAGTGGTCTAAGTCATATTAAGATATCCTTTTATGATGAAAATTATGATAATGGTTCTAGAACTCAGTAAACCTACTTAAAAATAATTGAATGTACATTCTAAATGAATTAATTATATGATATATAAATTAGACCACAATAAAATTAAATAAAAATTATCTCCTCAGAGCAAAAGATGAACACCATGACACCTGTCACTAAGGAAGAGTCTCTACATTTCATGGACCTATATGGAATTTTCAGACAACATATATAATGTCATTTTAATATCCTGAACTATTTGCAAGGTAGCCAGGTAGACCATAAAGCTACCAGTTTTGGGTAAAACCCAAAATAAGAGACTGTCTGAGGAGGATCCAAATCACAATGCAAAAAGTTCTACCATTTGGGCCTTTGACCTTGAAGATACAAGTGTCTGTATTACAAAGTGATGTAATATGGAGCCTACTATGCTAATGTCAACAGGAGAATCACAGCACAGAGCCTTATTGTATTCTTCTCAAAACAACTATTCTTTTGGAAAGCAGCCCAGAGTTGCTTATGTGCTTTTTTGAATGCTAAACACCTAATCACAGAACCCCAAATGACTATGTGGAATGAGTTGTCATCCATGAACAGGATGGTTGCTGAATCAATTGAGCTGCATGGCTGGGTTTACACAGCAGCACTTCCTGCTTGAGGATTAATTCTATAAATGATTGAAATTGAATAGATTTTGAAGACACAGGAAAATTTCATGATAAAAATTGAATTCTCATAGCACTCACCTTTGCTGCATCATCACTTCTTTCTTTACACAATGGTATATTGCTAAAAACATTTAGGCTATGCTCCATTAATGACAACTCCAGTGGCTTGTGATAACAAAGGTAAATACCACAAAATAAGATGGTAGAAATAAGACCAAGTATATTAATCAAAATAGAGATAAATGGTCTAAATTCATTATCACAATAATGCAGATTTTTATACTGTATATAAAAAATAAACTCAGTTAAATACTTTTTAAAGCTTGTACACTACAAATATTTAAAAATCATAAGAAGATTAAAAGTAAACAAAGAGAAAATAAAGCAGGGTTATATTGACCACAAAGCTAATAATAATAATAATGATAATAATAATAATAATAATAATATTGACTAGCTATATTAGCATCAGATGAAATATAATTTTAAATGTTATTAAGGATTTGGAGAACTAGTATATAATGATAAAAGTCTCAGTTTTCCATGAAAATTTAAGTATTCTAAATGTTTACACTCTAATAACACAACCTAGCAATAAATAATGCAATAATTTATGAAAATGCATGGAAGAAATTTCCTATCATTTTTCACATTGAAATCCACCTCTATCACTTAATGTAAATAACACAAGCACCATAAAGTCAGAGATTTTTGTCTCTCTGTTTACTACCATATTCTCATTTGTCTTAGTCTGTTAGGGCTGCTATAAACAAATACCACACACTGGGAAACTTATAAACAACAGAAATTTATTTCACACAGTTCTGGAAGCTGGAAGTCTGAGATCAACATGCCAGAATGGTCAGGTGAGGGGTCCCTTTCAGGTTGCAGACTTCTTGCTGTCATCCTCATGTGGCAGAAGGAGCTAGAGTGCTCTGTGTGGTCTCTTTTTATGAAAGCATTAATCTCATTCTGGAAATTATACCCTAATGACCTAATCTCCTCTACATGTCCTTACCTCCTAATACTATCATCTTTGGGGGTTAGAATTTTAAGGTGAATTTTAGGGAGGCACATTCTTATCATAGCATTATTTAATACCAAGAAGGTACTCGATAAATATCTGCTGAACTATTAAATTATTGATGGGCCCAACAGCCAAAAACATTAGTAAAAGTATAAAATATAGAAAATAAGCTTGATTTAATGGACATATAAAAATTCCTGAACTCTCTTATAAGGGAGTAAATAATCTTTGCAGGTAAAATAAAATATTTACAAAAGTTGGTCTTTAAGCAAGTACTTAAAAGAGGTTTTCAAAATTTACATTATACACACTCCATGAACTTGAAATTATGCAATTAATTTAGCAATAAATAAGATAAATTTTTAAATAAAGTTTTAAAATGTCTACTTGTAAATAATTCAGAAATCAAAAGTAAAGAAATTTTAAAGTATTTGGAAATTAACATTATGTTAATAAATAAAAATTAAAGTATATAGCATTCACTCTAAGAAGGAAATAAGAACAAGAGAAAAAGTACCAGAAAATTAGAGAGAAATAACAAAAAAAAGGAATTAATCTACTAGAAAAACAAAGATAAAATTGATATCAATAGAAACAATAGTTGATACTTTGAGAATACTAATAAAAGAAAAAATAAAAGAGAAGGTGCAAGTAAGAATTATTAAAAATAAAAAAAGAACATAATTAGGAGAGAAAATTTGGAATCGAATTTCAAAGTTACAGATATGAATTTTAAAATTTAAAGAAAATAGAAGAGTTGTAAAGAAATCTGACTCACTAAGATTGATTTGAGAAGAAATAAATGTCAAAATTTTCTCAGAATCTTAAAAAGCACTGATAATTAAATACTTTACTCAAAAAAGGCCTAAACTTTTAAAATAGAATTTTATTAAACTTCCAAGAAACATATAATTGGAAGATATAGAAAATTTTAGAAAACAGAAAGAAGGAGCACTCACTCACTTTTTCAATTTGAGACCACTATGAACATAATTGCAATACCCTAAACAAAATATTGAAAACAAAATGCTACAAAATATCAAGCTCATTGTACATCATGACCAAGTTTGATTCATTCTAAGTACTCAGAATTATCCTAATATTAAAAATTCCATTTATATAATTTACTATATTAACAGATTAATAAAGAAAAATAACATGTTAACTAAAAAAGTGCAATTAAAGTATTTGAAGAAAGCACTTTCTTTGGCAACACATATACTAAAATTGGAACAATACAGAGATTAGCCTGGCCCCTGTGCAGGGATGACATGCAACTTCGTGAAGCGTTCCATGTTAAAAAAATGATAAAAATTATTCGAAGAAATGAACACCTCTTCATGATTAGAAAATAAAAAACTTAGTAAATGAAGACAGGAAATCATATTAAACTTGATAAAATGTATTTACAAATACACTTAACTAATATCACTTATGGTGTAAAGTGTTAGAATAATGCCCCTTATGATCGGCACAAGACACATCTATTGAATATCATATTTGTGATCCACACAAATACTATGAGAGAGAAAGACAAATAACAAGTACAGAATTGAAATGTAACTCAAACAGTGTCTTATTTACAAATATCAATGTCTACTTGAAAAATATAGAGAATCTCCAGCCTGATAATTACAATTAATGATAGAATTCAGATAAACAGCTAGATATAACATTAATAAAAAATTAATATATTCTATTCATTAACAAATAGAAAATAAAACTTTGAGACTTTTTCAGAAGACCAGATTGAATGAAAAGATAATGTTCATACATACTTCAAAGTTTTCCCCAAATTTATCAACTAGACTTTTTAGAGAATTTGACAATTTGCCTCTAAAATTTATATTGAAGATCAAAGGGACAAGAATGACCAAGATATTTCTGAAGATTAACAATGTATTGTTTTCTTGCTCTTCTCAAAAGCAGGACAAGACAAGATGATACTGACACTGTGATAAACAAATAAACCAAAAGAAAAGAAGGGAGAGTTCAGATGGAACCCATAAGTATGTAAAAACGTAACAAGTAAAAAACCTCATGTTACAGACCGGAAAGGAAAATAAGAGACTATATAATAAAAGTTATAACTATATCATATTTATTACTCATATTCTATGTCAAAATGAATCCTTACCTTCTATCATACATGAAAACACATTTAATGTAAACACATTTAGTGCAAACACTAAATGAAAATGAAAATGTCAGACTTTAAAATAAATTACAAAAGAATAATATAGAGACAAAAATTTTTAAAAGCTTCTCTAATAAATGAAAATTTTGACCAACTGACAACATTAATGATAAATGAATAAATACATATGTAAATCCATAAAATACATAAATTTCTGTTCGACCTAGCAGATTTTCACAGGCATGTTTTACACACAATTGTAGTTGATCCAAACATTATCAGTATACCAAATGTCAAAAAAGCCAATACAAGCAGCAAAATCATAGATTGCATAGAATCAGAAATAAATTATAAACTTTAGGAGGACTACTTGCTGACTGCATACCTTTTACTAACTTTAATGTGATTTGTGGAATCAGAGAAGAAAGATAAAGAGTAAGAGCCATGATAGGGAAGCTGGTTTATGAAATGTGACTTTCAGAGCAATGCAAAAGTGAAAACAGCCTAGTCTGGGATTGACAGTTGACCAAGACATCTTTTGTTCTTTGGAATGTTAGAGAACGCTCATCCTGTAAACGTAAATTTGTAAATATGTAAATATGTAAATGTCAACATGTAAATATTACCAACATGTGAATCGCAAGAAACAGAACAGTATATTTTACAGCCAATCTACAATAAGTAATGACTATAATCATCTAAATCAAAATTATTGTCATAGCTGAATTATTTTCTAAATTACATTTCTTATACATGATACCTTTTAGAAAATGACTTTTGTTTGTTACTATTCTTCTTATGTAAATATGTATTTCATGCAATGTAAAGATCAAAATCACATTGTCTGAAAACAATCCTTGTATTTAATAAACACTTCGGAATTTCAATTTTGATTTTTTTTCACTTCTTAGTCTCAAAAATCATAAATTGAACTTCATTTTAGAAAAAAAGCAAAAATTTAAAATACAAAAAGATGTTAGTAATTAACAAATATATGATAACTAAATACAGCACACACATATATGTTTTATACCAAAATACATATGAATATAAAACAGTTCTACATCATACATAAAACTCTAGATTAATTTGTCAATATACTTGAAATTAAACATAGTAAGATTAAATAGCCACCTTACTTTTGAAATATCAACTATTAAAAGAAAACTCTAATTTTTAAGGCCCTATTAAATTCTATTTTAAAAGTACATTTATAAAAATAAACTATCTTCTAAGGTATATTCTTCCATGAAATCCTGGTTAACTTTTTCAAATGCTTAATAAAATGTCTTTTGATTATCAAAAAGTAATTTACTTTTTGTACATGTAGGAAGGGTATGTTTTCAGCAGGCATATCTGTAATACATAAAAATTTTCAAATTTTAACTATCATTATTTGGTATTACAGTATTTTAATGTGCCTATTAGATGTTCATGCATGCTTTCTATGATAAAAAGAACCAAAAAATAATAAGAAGCACCTATTTTTTTCCTGATTCATAGATACATGTGTGTGTTTATATTTCTTGGTCATGAGATAAATTATAGTGTCTGGCTTTGGAAAATAAATATTCAAGATCAATGAAGATGATATTTAAATATGTACTTTTGCTAAATGATCTAAGTCATATTATAGATTGCAACTGAGTTTGTCATGGACTGTTTTTAAACTTCTCCCAAGCTAGATGATATAATGATATAACTCTAATGCCATAGTTAGTGGTATAATGTATGAGATTTTAAATTTGATGTTGGGAACTGAATTTCACATGCTATTAAATGAATCAAGACACAAAGCTTACATCTTTCACAAAAAGAATTAACCCACAATGGATCATTGACCTAAATGAAAAACACAAACCATAAAATTTCTAGAAGATATTATAGGAAGAAATCTAAGTAACTTTGGTTTTGACAATGACTTTTTAGATACAATACCAAAGTATAATCTGTAGAAAAAAAATAAATTAGTTACACTTTATTTAAATTAAATGTCTCCTTTGCAAAAGACACTATTAAGATAATGAAAAGACAAGCCACAGATTGGAGAAAATATTTGCAAAAGACACATCTGATAAATAACTTGTATCCAAAATATACAAAGGACTCTTGAAATTCAACAATAAGAAAACAAATAATCCAATTTAAATATGGGCTAAAGATCTGAACAGACACCTCACCAAAGGAGATATACAGATGTTAAGTGAGCAAGTGAAAAGACAGTCCACATTTTATGTCACCAGAAAAATGCAAATTAATATGATGAAATGTCACCACATGTCTGTTAGTAATGGCTGAAATCCAAAACACTGACAATGTCAAATACTGGTGAGAACGAGGAGCAACAGAAACTAATTCATTGCTGGTACACGGTAAAGTTATTTTGAAAGAAAATTTAGTAGTTTCTTACAAAGAAAAATATAATCCTACCATATGATCCAGTAATAATGTTTTCTTGGCTTTTATCCAAATGAATTGACAACTTGTTTCCACAGAAAGACCTCGACATGAATTTTATAGTACCTTTATTTATGATTGTCAAAAAATTTGAAGTAACTAAAATGTCTGCCAAAAGTTGAAAGTATGAACTGTGGTGCATCCACGTATGGAGTATTATCAGTGATAAAAAGAAATGAGCTATCGAGCCATGAAAAGTAATAGAGAAATCTTAAATGCATATCACTAAATGAAAAAAATCAACCTGAAAACACTACATGTATGTTTTCAACTATATGACATTCTGGAAATGACAAAACTATAACAACAGTAAAAAGATCTGTGTTTGTTGTGATTTAGGGAGAAGAGGCATGAGTAGGTATAGCATGAGGCATTCTTAGCAAAACTATTCTGTATGATACTTTAATGGTGGATACATGACATTATCGGGTATCTTTCCAAACTTGGGAGCCCTTATAAGGATTGAGCCATGTTTCTGCCAGGGTTTTTTATCCTTATATCCCCTTTTCTAGAGTCAGGAATACTATTCTGATCCTACATCATGAATTTAACTTATACTGTTGTAGTAAGTCTTTCCTGATTATTCTTTTTTTTGAGTTCTTTCCATAATGAACACAGATATACCGTGCATTGTATTAGGTTCTGAGAAGACCAGGCTAAGCAAAAACATACAGTATTTCTCTCCTCATGGAGATTTAGCATCTGGCAAAGGATGTAAATAATATACTTAAAATTTGCTAATATTACAAAGAAGTTTGGATAATGTTATAGTCTGCAATAGGTAGATATGACTGTGATTTCAGGGAAAGTTTCTGCTAGGAAGCTTTAGATAAGATTTGAGAAAAAATTTAGAGTTTACATCTTCAAGGGGTGAGGGAAAATGAAGAAGTTAAGGGTTTGAATGAAAGTCATTGTGGCTGCAATGAGCAAGCTAGTGTGAGCATATGTAAGATGAGGTTAAAGACTTGGGACAAGTTTAGGTCATGCAAGGCCTTGTAGGCAATGTTGAGATTTTTATATTTTGTTCATTATTATTTTTTTAATTCTAAGAATCAGTGTGTATATGTTTGTGTGCACATGTGTACTCATGAACGTCTGAGGTTGAATAGATGACAAAATTAAATTTGAGTTTTAAAAAGCTCAGTATCCAATTTATTCGAGATTTAGATTCCTTCATTTTCTTGTCAAATTTCTCCAAGAACATAAAGGAATTCCATTTACAGATAGTCATTGTTGGCATCTTTTACTCCTAGAGTGCATGCAATTCCTGTGTATTGCCTATCTCCACTTGGCAGATATGCCTTCCCATGCTGGGCACCCATGACAACCTATTCAAAAGTGTATCACTTAGTGTTTGTTATCATCATTCTGGACACCAATCTCTACCTGTTTTCCCATATTTCCTCTTAACGCTTTGGATCCTGGCCCATGTGAATTGGTCTAATTTTTGATGTTTATATATTTTTCTTTTAACCTAGCTATCCCACCACCCATTTAACTCCCTAATCCATTTTGGCAACTTGAAGAACCAATTAAATCTGAGCTCAAAATTTAACTACACATGCTTCTACTATAAAGAATTTGTTTTCATTATACTATATGAAAACAGACAGTTTAACCTGTGTTGCTGTACCTTTTTTTAATTATTTGAAACCAGGAATTGGAACAAGAATAACTACTGGGAATTAGCTTAAATTCATGAAAACA